CAAGAAGAGATGGCTTGGAGGATAGCAAAGATGATAGTCAATGACGTTATGCAGCAGGCGCAATGTGAACAGCCTTCGGAGAAGGTTACGAAGGTGAGGGGGTGGAAAGGCTGCCTATCTTTATCTGCCTGAAGCCAGGCTGTGGGAGGAGCAGAGCTCTTGCTTGCCTTCCTAGTGCTCTGAAACCCACGCTGGTAAATGTTCAAACTAGCATGGCATGATACGAAGAAACAAAGGTTGGAAGTGTTCCGGCCTACACGTGCTGCTCTGGGAATTTCGTAACAGATACCTGTAGTGTTCTCCTGTGCAAGCTTTAAAATTGTCTTTGTTCGTTTGGAGTCTTTACAACCTGCCTTATTAGTGAAGAGTGGTTTGTGTTGCAGGGTCAATACTGTAATTCCTTACTTGAGTTCACACTTGCTGTTTCATGTTAATGAACACTGGCATATGTGCCTGAAGTGTCAGTAAAACGCAACAGCTGGAAAGTTGTCTGGGTGTGCTAATTTACTCAGTGCTGTGTCTGCGCTTCAGAAAAGACCCAGTAGCCCTGTCCATAAGCTGTGTGTTGCTGGCTAGCAACTTTGTTGTTAATACAAGTCCATGTGTTCTCTGCTTAAAAACAAACAAAAAACCCCAGTTCTGATGCAACAGTTAGATTTTGTGAAATAATGATGGCGGCAGTTTACCAAGTTAATATCTGGTACTTCTGGCTTTCAGGCATCTGACTGTTCTAAAATTAACTTAGACTTTTTTTGATTATTGAAGGTAAACATGTGCCAAAGCCCAGTGATAAGACCCGAACGGGTGGATCCATGGTTCACTATGTGACTGTTTGCTTTTGAATAGAGCGGTCACATTTAAATGACTCCTGTAATGATTTCACTTAATAGCTTGGCTGCAAACGGTATCTTTCCAGCCTGGCTAGATGAAAAGGTCTCTCAGCACAGTATTTAGAAATATCAAGTGGCTGCAGATGCTCTGGATTCAGTTAAGCAAGTGTGGTTACAGTAATCAGGCGGTTGAGTGTTTGTGGGATTAGGATTTTTTCCCTCTCCCAGACTCATAAACATACCTGGCTTCAGCATTTTTAAACACAAAATGTCTTTCTACTGAGCGATTGCCTTGTATGTTGTAGGGTAAAATGAACTCTAACCCTGTCCTTCCTTTTCCAGCTATGATTTTAGAAACGCCAGGACAGGAAATCTGGTTTTCTGCTTCGAGAATGAGTGAACTTTCCCTTTTGGTGGATTCTTTAACACAGCCAATAAAAACAAAGCACTCTCACTCCAGCCGCCGAAATCTCCCTCGTTTATAAGGAGGAATTAAAAAGAAGCAATCGTGTGTACCTCCACTGCAGAGCGTGAAGAAACACTTTTTCCTGTTGTACGTGGCAGTCACAGTAATGATGGCTTTTCAAGAGACGAAGATGCAGTTTACGAGAGTGTCACTGAGAAACAGTGATCAGCTTCACAAATACTTGACCCTGTCGCAAAAAGACTTTTAAGCAAAATGCCTGGAATGGGACACAAGCCAGAACAGAGGGAAAGGTTTCGCTGTAGTTTCTAGCTCTACTACTTGTAGTTTTTAAACACATAATTGGAAAGGCCGTGGGGTGTGTCCCCGACATTGGCCACTGGAGAAGTGAACCTGAAACGGTGAATTTATTGGCAGTGAATGACCTAAAAAGTTTGAAGTTTTATTTTTCCTTACTTGAAATAGATGCGTATTAAACTGTAAGATAAATGTATTTTACTTCATAACTACATTAACTTTGAAGGCAGCGTGGAGTGCTGAGGAGCGAAGCCTGGGCGGTGTAACCCTTCCTTGTCGAGCTCTTGCACCTGCACACACCGATGCCCTGCTGCCAGCGCAGGGCTGACCCCAGGGCCAGCCGTGGCCCCGGCAGCCCTCTGCTCCCAGGCCGTGGCTCCCAGCGCAGCCCGTGTTCTCGGGGGAGTCTCGCCTGCAGACTGCTCCATTTTCTTCCCTCTCCATCCCATGAGCAAGGAAAAAAGCAATTGCTGCCATTCTCCATAGCTTGTCCTCCAGCCAACACAGTATCTAATTCCCAGATGTTTGGTTTACAAAGAAAAATAATTTTTGGTGACCTCTCGCCTTCTCCCTGACATTATCAACACTTGCAACTTGCAGACCTTTAGTTGAAGTAAAAAGCCACTGTGTTACACAGCATCTGTTTTGGTTGTTTTTTTGTGAATTGATTTTTCAGGGTATCAGAAGCGCTCTGTGTCTCACTGTTACGTTATTGCTGCATTGTTAGTACACAACACTTCTGGGTTTTTTTTTTACTTTAATCTTATGATTGCTTTTTTCCTCAAACCTGTGCAAAAAAAAAATCACTTTGCAAAGAGCTCAAATCATCTCCAATGTTCCAAATATCTTGATTGACTAGCAAGTGTTATTCTGTTGCAATATTTGACTGTATAGAGATACACTGTATTGTCTATAAAGAAGCAAAAAAGGCTGTGTATAGGTTTTTGGTACTATGTACCACCTCTTATTTCTCTCATGCCCAAGTATTCATGTACTTAAAACATACTATATTTAATTGTGTTTTGATTTAAAATATATAAATATTAAAATTTGTGTCAATTTTCTGTTTTGATGGGATTTGACTTTACATGGTTGTTTTTTTTAAATGTGAGTATCAGGTGTTCATAGAAAAAACAGACTGCGGAACAATTTCTCCTTGGTACATTTGCACACATTTCTTCATCTTTTTAATGGCTGATGTTAATGGCAATGTAGTGAAATAGGAGTAATTTCTGTCTAAATACTAAATAAGAAAGTATTTTAACCACAGCGCAGTTGGGCTGGGAAGCAGGGAGAGGGGGCAGGACTTGGTCCTGTAGCACAATACTGAGCTGCACAGGCACTTGAATCCTCTTCCACGCCCTCTGTGTGTGGTGTTTGCTCATTTTTCCACCTTGGCAGGGTCCAAACTAAGCAGCTGAGCATGTTCAGGGCTAACAGGCCCTAGATTTGGGCACAAATATTGCCTAGAGCCGTGTTCCCTGCCTGGGGTGGATGGGATGGATGAGCACAAGATCCTCGGCTTACGTTACAAGGCTGTGTAGCAAACAGTGTGGTGGCCAGCGTGTAAAGTGAGGCTTGGGCTGTGACTGGGACCCGCCTGCCAGTTTTAGCTCTTTGCTCTGTAAGCAGTGCTTAGGTTTGATGGAACGTTGATGGCGAGAGTTATGGATGTCTGATGCTCGTCGTGGTTGTTACTGGTTTGTGCTGGACGGGATGGGTGATGTTGAATTTCTCACTGTGTTACAGGATTGCCTGGCAGATTTGAGTTTCTCTTAGTGCAGGATCTCCCTCGCTGCCTCCTGTCCAGCCCAACGAGCCAGTGCTCACATGGTGAATAAACCATGTTTGATTGCAGCCCCGGCCCTTCTCTGCTGTCCCCCAAAGGGTTGACACATGTGGCAACCAGGCGGTCTCCAGCATTGGAGCGCTTTCTTATTGGAGTGGGGATGTTTGGGGCAATGTGTCCCGGTTTTGCCGCTTTTTATTTTAGAAAAATAGTAAAACCCACGTGTGTGGTCACCAGCCCCGCCTTCCCCGAGCCCCCGGGGCGGAACGCGCCCACTG